TTTAAAGTTATTGTAAGGATTATATTATGTCAAAATGCCTATATAATATATTTCATAAGTGAACTATGATAAGCTAAAAATTCTTTGGTAAATTGGAGGTTTTAAGTTGAATTATTTAAAGCGCCTTATACATTCTATGTGTGTGTCCTAGAAATCTATTATTTAATAACTTCTAACAATCCATCTTACCACATTTCTTTTCTATTCGATGTATGTAGCAACTTCATTTTCTTTTAATGAAATATAAAAGCCTTGTAAAACACTGCTTGAGATAAAGAATAAATTACAAGAAAACCTAAGGAGTCAGCTAAAATCTAATATGATTTACACTAGAAGCATTACTTTGTGGATTTTTCTTATACTAATGTTACGATGATATATTTTTGTGATTCGTTTGAAATAAGATCCTGATTTTGGGTGTTTTACGTGTGTATTCTACACCACAGATGTAACATAAAATTTCGATGAACTGTCTTTATTTTGAATTTAAACTTTCTAGTAATAATGGGCGTTGGCCCTGTTACGAGTTTAACCTACTAGAGGATTAAAACAAGAACACGTTGTAGGTTCTGTAATAATTTGCGAAAGGATAAGAAGGAGAAAGCAAATACAGACCATAGGTGACCAAAAGATTATTTAAAATTATGTAACATTTTAGATCAAACAACATTATGCCCAAGAAATATTTTTCTAATGTACATGATGTCGCATTAATTAATTATAACTTTGAAACGTTTCCAAAACTTATAAGTATATTGAATGATCTTGTATTCTAAAAAAAAGTGATTTTATATATTAACTGTAGATAATATACATAACATACTAGCGGTTTCTTAGGTAGTTTTAGGCACAGCTTTACACACATCAGTGACTTCCTATTTAATTTTTAAATTCACTAAAATAAGTTACCACTTGCTTTTTTATAACCCACGTCGAAACGAATCTAAAATTGCGAAGACAATCGGATCTTTTTCTTTCTTTGTTTCAAAGAGGTCATATTATTAGGTACTAAACAAGAAAAATAATCAATAATACTTAATACGTTAAGAATAAAAAAATACTAAGGTTATACCTATATATTAAAAGTAACATTCATTAATTAAGTCACGAATACAACCCACCAAAAGTTCACTGCTTAAAATAGGCTTCCCCCATTGCTTGGGCCTCTTTTGTCATACTTGCCATGTCAATCATCCCCTGTTTCAGTTTCCCTCTGTCGCCTCTTACGAAACCCACAGGTTGTTGAGGCAGTGGATTCTCTTACGCCAACAATACTCGGTGAAAAGTAACAAGAAACGAGAAATTTTAACACAAATTTCGAGAAAACTGGGGCATCGTCCAGACCACAGATTACGCCTTAAGGGGGTAATATGTGGTCTGGACAGTTCTGACTGGTCACATATATTTTTTTATCTAGAATAAGGGTGACAATCGAGCACAGTTCACCTGGTAAGTGGATGATGTGGCCCATAAATATCTACATTTATGCTCAATTAAGTATCAAAATGCAGATGCGTTGTCACCCCTGAGGACTAAGCCTCGTTTCCAGTAATAAAGGTCTCCGGTTCTCTACACTCACCATAAAAAACACAGCAGTCTTCAGCTGCTATTTTACGCTGGTATTCTATGATAGCGTATTCCTACCTCGGTCGAGCTGACCAATTCGTGCTGCAACTAATATAGCTGCAGCGTGGCTCTACCGCGTATACTACACAACTGAGATAATATTATTTAAATGTATTTTAGATTCGTTTCTTTATTGACACGGGTTATGTAATTTGATCTTTGAGAAGAAAGCATTGTGTTAGGAAATTAAAAAATCATGAGCAATGAACACAATATTATGGTAAAACTTTTTTAAAAGATGATACTTTTTACCGATGAAAATGTTAGTAAAAAAAATTAGGATTATATGACTTAACAAATAGACAGCCAAGAGAGTAATTTATGTACATAATTTGAGAAAACCTTGCTTGAAAGTGAACCAGATTTAACATAATATAAAATTAAACAAACCTGTGTTAACATTACATCGATCAACATCAAACAACATTGGTCCAATTATAACAATTCAGTGTTTAACAATTAGTTCACTCTTTTTTATCCTAAGTGGTCAGAAATATTGCCAAGTTGCCAATAAGCCAACAGGTAATATAGATCATATTATAAACAACAAAATTTATTAGAAAATTAATGATGTACCTTGAACGATTCTTAAATAAACCAGGCCGCTTAATAACCATAATATAATAACTTTTTTATGTATGAAGTGCATTATCCTGATCTTGTACAGGTTCCACACTTAATAATTTAATCGGGTTGGGTTAAGTATCAAGTCGCCTGAATTTTTGAGAAGTCTGTCATTGTTTGGGGGTTAAAGGGGCTTAACTCTTACTTATTAAACTAATTCTAAAAGTTATTTTAATGTTTTATTTGGTGCAAGAGCGAGCGAAACGTTCTCGGGACTTGGGGGGTGCCCTTCCCTATTAAGGCGACTTGATACTAAACCTTTACCATTTAATGTTATTACGAGCTGCTCAATGCAATAATGGTAATCGAGACTAGATAAAATGTTTATACTTTGGACAATACTAATTGGATATGTAAGTGAATGATATTAAATTAAGTGCGTTATTAACTAGCGACAGCTAATCTTTAATATAATGACTAACTTACAGGTATTATAATTTAATTATTGAAATCTCTTGTCTTATGTAATATCTGCTATATTCTAAGCCTTATAGAATTGATAATGTCATTGTGAGACATTTAACTGCTATATTATTAAGGCATTCATGTATTGTATTATATTTATTTATTTATGAATTATTCTTATGATCTCTACCATAAGCACAAATTCAATTCAGCCTAAAGGAATACGAACATACAATACATCATGTAATATTTAAACAATAAAAATACAAAGATACAAAACTATTTTAAATTAATGTGTTAAATTTTACCTTTTTCAAACTTAATGCAAAATTGGTAAAGAATAAATTGCCTGTAGTGAATGCATTGTAACCTTATTCAGTACAGAGCGGAATCTATAGGGATCACTGTTATCCTTGTCTAATTTGGCACATAACAATCACTTATTCCCACAATGACAGTATCCGTAAATGCTAAAAAGCAAAAGAAAGCTATTGTAATGTATACGGCCTAACTTTTAATAGTCACGTCTAGCCTTTTTTTAAACAACTACCAACACTTGCTAATTGTGTATATTTCTTCAACAATAAAATTTGATTCACTCTTATCAAATTGAATTATAGTTCTATATATTCATGTAAAATGACTAGGCATCTGAGTGAAACACTAATAATGCACTACAATATACAAGGTTAAAATTAATACACCAAAAATATCTCAGGACGTAATTCCTATCTTTAAAACCAACAGCTATTGTTCAAAGATGTTTTAAAACTTTTCCTGTTTTGGTAATAATGCATTTTAACTACTCTACTTTGACGTACCGACTGAATCTAATAACTACGTCGCAATGGTCGCATGCTGACTAGCGTGGCGCTGGCTGACGCGGCAGTTCGGCAACGCCTGGTGCAGCATCTGCTTTCTGATTATGTTAGTGATGTTATCCTCTTGGCTCTTACAGCTTTATTGGACTCAGGGCTCGAGGCCTACGCCGCCCAAGGACGCGGGTGTACAGCGTGTACGCGGTGTGGAGGGGTGTGCGACGCGCTGCGTCCTATCCGTTGTGTTTGTGACACTAGGTGAATGTGTAGTGTTGGTGTGTGTATTTTGTTAGTGTGTACTTGGTGCGCCAGCTGTTTTTGTTAAGCGTCTCCCACACAGAAGCGGCTTGCGGTGGCGGTCGCGGTGACGGTCAGTTGAATTCGCTTGCAATGTGAGTCTGCAAACCCTTGCGGCCATGTCGCGATCTGCAAACGGCTGGTTGCGTCAATGCGTGTTTGTTAGCGAGTACGCGGTCAGTCGGTGTCCGCAGCGCGGTCAGTTGTAGATTTTTACAACAGGCCGCGTGTACCGCGTGAAAAATGGTGCTAAATTCAGAGATTGTAATAGTAACAGAGCAAAATTATCCCGTACTTTATGATAATTCCCATCGTGATTACAAAAGCATTAGGATTAAAAACAAAATATATGATAATATTGCAGAATATAATAAGACTTCGTCACGGTTAGCCTTGTTTACTGACGTCTAATCGTAGCACAGACCACAGCGAATAGCGCTTCATGCCGCCACTGTGACCGCGCAGCTCGCGGCTAGCCGCCACCGCAAGCCGCTTGTGTGTGGGAGACGCTTTATGTTTTGTTTCACTCCTCTACACAGAGTAATATGTAACATGGACAAATAAAAATCACATTTTTATTTTTGTGGAAAACTTTAGCCATCGAATATTTAAAAGTTGTTTATTTCATAGATAGGTAAATACTATCTGAGGGCTTATCGGTATATTACAGTTAACCCTGTTAAGCCTCCCATATTTCAAATTACGCAAAAATTTGAATATTTACTGTCCTTAATAGGTATGTAGCTCAGAATTAAGCATGTTTTCAGGTACTATATATTTAACAAAAACTTTTATTTCAGTACATACAATAATTAGCATACAATTGAATAACAGCAGTCCTAAAGACTTTTCGTTGTATCTTCACGCTTATGGAATTGTTTCACATCCCTATAATGTCGCGTCAGTCAATATTCATTAACTAGTGTAAATTAAATAATATTAACATTAGCAAAATACATGTTTGATGATGGTGACTATCAAAGTCAATTATAATGGAAAGTAAGTCCAAGGCATGTTATTAATATTATCACTACTTATTTAAATGACTTATGGTAATCCATGCGGTTTCTCGCGTGAAACAAATTTAATGACTAGAATCAAAACTAGAGCATAATTAATTTTATAGCCACACAAGTAATAAGTGACATACTGAAACAAATACAAATATCGCTTATTACTTGATAACTACGTAAAATTGGTGGGATTTTCGATAAAGCCAATGATCTTCCATTACATAATGGAACACTTTTCTCTACCACTAGCAGACGCTTCACCGCCGTCCTTAACTATCTTGTCTTTTTTCTTCTTCCCTTTGCCATCAACTTGAAGTGATACATTCCTGTTCTTTTCCATGTTTAAAAGTTCCTGAAAAAAACATTTAAAAATCTTCAAATACAAATTAAACATCGGGAACATAAAAACAAGTGTTCCACGTCATCCTAATCAAATACTAACAAATAATACAGCTCTAATGAAGTAGAAGCGTAACTCACGCTGCATATTGGCCAAATGAAAAACAAACACGATAGGCGGGGCTTCAAAACTAAGTTGCGGCTGGTATCTACTGGTATTACTTCACCGGCTGCTGTCGTCCGAAGGAGTATTTCCAACATGTAGTTATTTTCTTAAACACTCAGAAAATGCCACTCTGTGTTGTGAAATGGTGTAAGAATAATTCCAGTATATATAATAACTGTTTGTTTTACTCTATGTAAGTAAATACATTGTTTTGTTATATAATAAATTTGAATTTTAAAATGCCGTTTCATGAAAATGGCGTTGTGCATATTATTATATTACCATCGTGTTTGCAATTCGTGATTTAATAATAAATAATAATCCTAAATTAACAATATTGTGTGAGCAAACTCAATCACTGAATTTTTGTGCTACGGCGCCTATCAGTGTTAGATCTCAGCCTTGATTTGTTCGCTCCTGCAAATTAGTCCCGGGGTGCAAACACTAGCACTCTCAAAAAGAAGTAGGTACAACTCTGATCCCAGGTCCTTCAAAAGAGTTTTTGCTAAGGCAAAGTCACAGCACATTCGCTGAATTGGCGAGAAACAAGTTCGCCATCCTTCGGAAACTCGTGCATTCTGGTTTCTCGCTAAGGCTCCCCAAAATTTCTGTAAACCATCAATACCACCTTTGCACAGGGAGGATGATTCACTGACTCAGGCCGCAAAAGAAAAAGTTGATCTTTTAGGTTCTCATTTTGCGTCCAATTCGACACACCTCTACAGCCATACACCGTCGGCCATCCCGCAGTGAATTGCTCCAAGCAGGACTAATACAGAGCCGGTTTAATTACAGGCTGTGAGGCATTCTATCTTAGTCCTCAGAGATAACAACAAATCTATAGTCATATTTGTTTGAAGTCTTGAAATAACTAAAACTAATATTAGATAATTATAACTGGCTAGAGATATTTCTTCAAAGACATATAAAAAAAAAATTGCATTACTTTCTTAATTTACAGACGCTTTAAGTCGGCTCTTCACGTTGGCCAACATACTGGCGAATGTGTTGGCCAATAACGATGGCCATCGTATAGATCGGGTGTTTAGCTTACGTTGGTATGTATTGGTACGATGGCCTACAAGTTGGTGCGAGATCCGTGTGGTGTCGGTTTTTTTACAAAAGATCAAAGGGTTGTGGCAGAATATTGGCCGCCGCGTCCACACGTTGGGCGCACGTTCAGTTTGCTACGAGCTCCCAGAGTGATCGCACGCACCTGATTTAAATTTTATATGCACGCATTGTAACTAGTGTCTACATAATGGCAGTAACAATGACCGATGGAAAAACTTTTCGCTTTATAGAGCCCTACCAAGCCGAAAATTGTATGTGAAACACAATTCTTTCAAGTCTTTTTTTAAAACAACGTTACCCCCACACTAGGATTTTCTCCTGTATCGTGAAAAGGCAGTTTACAAATATAACACGCACGCGCACGCACACGCACGCACGCACGCACACACACACATACACACACACACACACACAAACACACACCTACTCTAAATCATAGATAATCTTGCTCGGCTTATCTCAATATTTAATGTTATTAGGAAGAGCGGTGCCTCCTGACACAGGTATTCTTTTATACTTACTAGGAGGCTCCAATTACTTTATTATTTAGTATGCCTTGAGAAAGAAATAAAAAGATTTTTAATTTATGTGTAAACTGTAGCTGTTGATTATTATCTGTGCTACTCTGTTGTGTCCTATTCATAAATAAAATTTATTAGTCGTTGTTGTTAATCGTTGTTAATGGATTCGAACTAACGCTAATTTTAGAACATTTTTTTATACGTGGTAGAGCCATGCTGCAGCTATATTAGTAGTATTGTTATAGCACGAATGGGTCGGCTAGACCTGGGAAGAACCACGCTCTCACAGAATACCAGCGTAAAATAGTTTACTGGAAAAGAGACATTCCAACTTAGTCCTCACGGGTGACAACGCATCTGCATTTTGATTCCCAAACGAGGACAAATGTAGATGTCTATGGGTCACAGCAACCACTTACCATCAGGTGGACTGTGGGCCCTATTTCTATAAAAAAAATAATACAAAACTATTACCTGAAACAGTTGCGTAACATTATGATTGGTTTTTGCTGAAGTCTCCATAAATGAAACACCCCATGCTTGAGCCTGTGCTTGACCTTCAGCTGCAGAAACTTCTCGTATTTCGGGGCTTTCATCGCACTTGTTACCAGCTAACATAACTGGTATATTAGGCAACTCAGTTCCTTTGATTTCTTTAATTGTCTGCCATATTGGCTTAAGTTCTTCTAATGATTGTCGACTGCTTACAGAATATACTAATATAAATGCATGACCCTGTGGAAAATTTATTGTTTTTAGTATACATTAAGATTAACAAGATTAGTCATTCGTAATCCTAATAACATCATTTGTCATCATATTCTTTAAATAATAAGTCCAATAGTCGAAACAGTACTTTAAAAATCCGACTGAGTAAAGATTAATAAAAAGAGAAATATTCAAATATAATACCTATGTATGTCACTTCCAGAGCTAAAACGAATCTAACGACACCTATGTTAATATTCATCAAGCTGTTTAAGCTACAGAGCGTGCCAAAGAAATAGACATACATATGCTCGGAATAAATTACCCCCCTAAAAGTTATTAATAATAGTATTAATTACACCGAATTTCGGTCACGGCTGTCAGTCTTCAAAGAAACTAGCCATCTGCGCAGTAGAGCATTATAGTGCCCAAGTGTATGCGCATACGCAGGTGTACTCTCTATTCCATCACTCTGTCTAATGTGACGGTTATTTCTTGACGTAAAAACACAATAACTGATTTTGGCCCGACCAGGAATTTTAACACAGGACCTCGTAATCATCAATCGCGTTTACAACCACTAGAGCAACGACGCAGTTATTTATTATTATATTATAACTAGCTGACCCGGCAAACGTTGTTTTGCCATATACATTATTTCTAGGAATATTTTTTAGTTTTAAAAATCGCGATTAAAAACAGGGGTTGTTCGTAGAAGGGTGAAAATTTGAAGTTTTATGTATTTATCAATGCTAAATCATAATAAAATAAAAATAAAAAAATATTTAGGGGTGGGTCACCCTTATCAGTTAGGGGTTTGAAAAATAGATGTTGGCCGATTGTCAGACCTACCCGATATGCACACAAAATTTCATACAAATCGGTTGAGACGTTTCGGAGGAGTTTGGTAACAAACACCGCAACACGAGAATTTTATATATTAAACAATTAGTATTTTAAAGATATTATAAGATATTTAAAACGTGAATTTTTACGCCATCCATAACACTATGCTATCATGGGATACACTTTATTTTAGAAAGCACAAGGGATCTGTGTCTGTGTCAGTTAACACCTGTCCACCGAACTCCAGCACATCAAGCAAAATATTGCAAGACACCAAACAGAATAGAATATATTTATTAAAGATTACAATACTTATTGAGTCATGTATGCTTTTACCACTTCTTCGGAAAAAACCCTGACCTTGGTTAAATCAGCAAGAAAGCCAGCGGGACTTTTCTAAAACATTAATTTACAATATAAAATGTTGTACAATCAAATATGAACATTACAAGAATGAAGAATGGTAGCGATTGCCGTATTCCTACAAGTCCCACAATCATTTTGTCGTTTAGTAGTATAATAAGGCATTTATTTAAAGAATTTTTGCTTAATAAAAATTTTAAACTTTTTGATAGGATAGGTCCTGGATATTTTCTAGGACTTTAATGTATTGTGTTTATTCCTATACTGAGAGGGTAAGGTTAATATATATATTTCTTTAAATTTTTCTCTAAGAGACTCATTCGGAATTTGGTTATAAATTGCTCATATGGCTCTCTTCTGCAAGACAGTTTCAATGTCAGCCGTATTACCCCATGGCAAGATTCCACACGACATTATCTTATGGAAATAACTATAATAAAAGTAAGGCTTCTAATATTTATGCAGTATGCAGCAAAAATAAATTTGCCAGCTAGTTTAGATACATGGGGGTCCCAATGAAGCTACTGTTAATCTTCGTAAAACAGTGCCCTGTGCCACATCGAGAGACGTAGTGTTGCTGTTGGTTTGCGAACTTAATATATTTTGGTGTTATCATGTAATTACGTCCATCATGTTACACTGATGTGTGATTATGACAGCGATATATTATGTCAAAATTAAGTATGTGGTCAAATTGAAATGCGCTACACTATTATTATTTATAAAACTAACCTAATATATTACTAACAGCATATTAACTAAAATTTACATTAACACTTAGGGAGCCGCGTCCTAATTTCTAGCACAAGTACTCATTATCGGGTCCAGTGGACCCAGTAAAATATCATAAGCTTATTTCAAAACTGCTTTATAAAAGTAAATTATTACTTTCTAATAAGGATTCTATATGTATAAAGAAAAATATAATTGAATCAAATACCGCTATTCATTGTTTTTACTTAAACAAAAGACGTTACAAAAATATACTAAATTTCTCCATAGTATTGTGACAAGTTTTAGACTAATCATTTTCTATAATTACTTATATCAAACAAAATCTTCTATATTTTCTTACACAATAATGTACTCAATTGTACGAAATAAAGGGGGATCAATCATCATAGCAATATTTAAAAAAAATAACAAAATGACAGTATTTTCTTTGAAGTATAATATCACCATACTACTGACACTTTTTAAGTAACTGACTACCAACGTCGTTATTTGCTGTGTTACACTATCTTTGTAAGGTACTAAGAGATTCTGCTGTCAGAGTGATTGGTAGTTACACGTGTTTTAGCGATTTTCGTATATATTTTTGTGTTGAGCTTCGTTAATATCTTTGCCGTCTTCTGTGTTCGTTATTATATAAATTTGTGTTGTGTTGTTCATTACTTATTTGTTGGTAAGTAGCGATAGTTAATCAATTTATGTATTCTTAACTAACACGATGGACGTTGACGGGGTGGCTTCGGAACCACCGGATAAAGACAATCCATCTGGTTTCGGTCCCTCTAAACGAAAATGTAACATAACATCAAGCATTCATAAAAAAAAAGTTGGTCATGATGACACGCCTTCAGCGTCATATCAAAAGATTTACACCCGCCCTGATTTTCTAGAAAAGAAAAAATACACAGATAGTGATAAAGGGTCTTTTACAATTCACCTGCCATGGATGCCAATAATTTTATCGAATCATCCTTTCTTGCAAAATATAAACTATGAGCAATCATTTCAACCTTCAATGGGTCAATAATGGGTGTTGTTAGTAGTATACCAACCGATATTTCCATGGAGGAGTTGGTGTGTGAGTCGGAACTTCACCCAGGTAGAGGAGAAATTATAAAGGAGATTACACCGAAAAGTAAAGAAAGGCGATGATATTGAGTGGGTGGCCACCCAAACCGTTGTCCTTACATTTTCAGGCCAAGAGATTCCTTCTCACTTATACTGCTTTTACACCTCAACTCCTGTCGAAACCTACATACTCCCTTCCATACAGTGTCGGAAGTGTTGTCGCTTTGGACATGTAAAGGCTCAGTGCAGATCAAAGCCACGCTGTTTCAAATGCTCAAAAGAGCACACTGGAGATAATTGTGTTACAGATATCCCAACATGCCTGTTCTGCTCTGCTAATCACTTGGCAACTGATAAATGTTGCCCTAAACATACTAGACAAAAAGGCATTAAACTGGTCATGTCCCAAGAAAATATTTCATATTTAGAGGCATCTGCTCGATTCCTTGCAGTTAGAAGACCTTACGCTGATGTAGCTGCATTTTTAGGGATTCCTTGCCCACCCACTTCATCACAACAGTTATCAAGTATTTTCCCTGCTCCTCATGCTTCTCAATCTTATAGAAAGACTGTTTTCAGATTTAACCCAACTAGACCTGTTCCAAATTCTGTAGGCTATGATAAGGTAGCACACAACAATATTGTAAGAACCCCTACCACTTCCCTTCCAAATGGTCATGCTCTTCAAGCTAATTTATCCCTTAATGATAATCTCCTGGAAAACCTTGTGTCCTCCATCTCTGATATAATTGGCAAATATGACGACATACACCTACCGTTTAACGTGAGAAATAAACTTGACATGCTCTTCCAAAAAATTTATAAAATTCAATCGCCTCCACATCCTCCAGTGGAACTGTCGGAGCATCAAGAACAAGAAATCTGAACTAATTTGATAAATACTCATAACCCCTCAGTCATTGCTATTGCGGAAGCCTGGCTAAGACCTGGTTTCAGATTCAGAATCTCTGGCTTTCGTGTATCCGTGACGACCGAAGCGATGGCTACGGTGGCACTATGATTCTTCTAAATAGAAATGTTACCTCTTGCTCAATTCCCCTTCCACCTCTGCAAGAGAATATTAATGCAACAGCTGTAAAAGTAATGGACATCACAATTTGTGTCAATATATATTTCCAATCCTACTCCTGCCTGTATCCCAGAGCTTAACTTAATTCTGTCTAGCATATCTCCTCTTTTTATTGTAATTGGGGACTTCAATAGTCACAATGTACTGTAGGGTTCTCATAAAAATGATTCTTTTTCCTATCTTTAATAAACATCTTTAATGAGTTTAACCTTTGCATTTTGAATAATGGGTCTCCCACCCGCATGGTGTACCCTTCCCAAAGTCCTAATTCTGTTGTAGATCTATCCCTCTGCTCTGCTAATTTAGCTGCAAGTATCAATTTGAACACTCTATCGTCCACCTTTGGTAGTGAGCACTTCCCCATCCTTTTGTCTTTGTCCAGTAGAAGCCTTCCCACTAGGAATAAATCATGCATCTCCAAGTTTAACGTGTCCAAAGCCAACTGGGATGTATATCTTTCTGATATAGAAACTAAAGCTCATTCTCTCCCTCCAGTGTCTCACATTAACTTACAACATGCCTACTCTGATTTTATCTCCCTTTTAAATGAATCTGCTACAAAATCTATCCCCCTTAAAAATAGCATAATTAACAAAATTTCCTCACCTCCTTGGTGGGACGCAGATCGCTCTTCTATTGTTAAAAAACGTAAAGATGCTGAACAACAGTTCTTTGCAAATATGTCCATGTCGCTCTTCTATTGTTAAAAAACGTAAAGATGCTGAACAACAGTTCTTTGCAAATATGTCCATGGAAAACTTTATAAATTATAAAAAAATAGCCGCTCAAGCCAAAAAAACATTCTCGGAGAAGAAGAAAAAAGTATGGCTTTTATTCTGTGAGAGTCTGTCACCTCGCTCTCCAGCCTCCCTCGTTTGGAAAAAAATAAAGCGATTTCGTGGTTCTCTCAATGATAGGCAAATAAATAATCCTGACCCCTCACTTCGGATAGACAACATCTATAGCAGCTTGTCTCCTCCATGGGTCCCTTCCTTAGAGGAGATATTCCCAGTAACCTCCCCCCCTTCCCATCTTTCTTATGAATCTATGAATGATACCTTCTCCCTCACAGAGCTTCAGTTGGTGTTGAACCATCTGAAGGACTCCTCTCCAGGTATGGAAGGGATCCCGTACTCTCTTTTAACTCTAATGGGCCCCACATCCAAAAAAATTTTCCTAGACATAATAAACTGTATATATTCCACAGGAGCAGTTCCTGGTGACTGGAAAACCCATATCCATACATTATTATTCATTATATTTACATATATTCCTATTCTTAAAACTGGAAAAGACCCCTCTACAGCCACTAGTTACCGTCCAATAGCCATTTCGTCTACTCTGTCAAAGATAATGGAACACCTCGTCAAAAACCGCCTAGTGGTTACTAGAAAATAGAGGCATCTTGCCTAAAAGCCAGTTTCGTTTTAGAAAGGGTTTGAGTACCTTTGACAGCCTCAGCCTTTTGATTTCCAATGTCAGACTTGCATTTTCTCAAAACAACTTCCTTGTAGGTGTCGTCTTAGATGTATGCACAGCTTATGATAATGTTATACTTCCGCTGCTCAGGCATAAGATGCATCAGCTGAGCATCCCTGTGAGGATAACGAACTTTGTGTCAAACCTTTATTCAGGAAGACGTGTTCTAGTGCTCGTAGAGGGTAATTTCATGCCAGAGAGATACATCTGGAAAGGTCTTCCACAAGGCTCTGTTCTAAGTCCCCTTTTGTATAACCTCTTCTTTAATTTTTTTATAATCTAGATAGATCCGTAAACTGTCTGTCCAACATACTCCAATATGCTGACGATTTGGCTCTTTTTGTTACTGACCATTCTTTACCTGACGCCTCTTCTCGATTATCTCGTGCGGTATATTACCTCCAAGAATGGCTTCCAGAACATGGTTTATCTCCCCCCCCCCCCCCCAAAGTAATATCGTGGTATTTTCGAGGCGAAGACTCATCCCAGAAGTGTCAAATTTCTATTACAGACTCATTGATTCCCAATGTGAGCCATGTGAAATTCCTCGGTTTTATGCTAGATAGCAAATTGTCTGGAATTCCCCACATATCCTACATAGCTTCAAAATGCGAAAAAAGTTTAAACGTCATTCGAGCTTTATCAGGAGCTTGGTGGGGCTCTCATCCTTACTCCCAAAAGCCAAGGTGAACAAAGAGGAACCCCTTAGCTGGCCCGGGGTGTAGGGCCGGCCTGAGGTGGCCGCTCCAAGTGGGCTTGGCGAGCCCACTTCGGATGTGTGTCGGTGGGCTGCTATGAGAGGGGTGTCCTCCCCACCCCTACCTCTGCAGCCGAGGTGGAGTCGCGGAGGAAGAGGAGTGTTGGTATAGCGATCCGCCATTCGCCCTATTCTCCGCGACTCTGACGGGGCCGCACCGTTAATGAAGCGGTGGTGGTGGGGCTGCGGGGGGAGAGGAGTGTCGGTATTGCAAGGCGCCGCTCTCCCTACCCTCCGCAGCCGAATCTCGGTTGGAGGCGGAGCCATAGACCAGATCCGCCGCTGGGGCCAGGAAGGCCGGTGCTTTTGAGTGCTAGTTTTTCCTGGCCCCATGGCCTTCGCGCATCGGACACGGGGGCGTCTATTGCGCATTGGAAATTGGAGGCCGAGGAGGAGGGCGCGCCATGTGTTCTGGTGCGCCTTACTTAAGAAAGAAATGGGGGAGGAGTGGTCCTCTCCCGAGGAGGGGCCGCCATGGGGCGTCCAGCGCAGGTGGGGCCGCGGAAGTGTGCGAAAGCGTTCCCGTGGCCCTGCCAATATGCGACGAGGGTGGAACACCATGGGGTTTTAGTCGGTGTGAGTCCGACATAACCCGTCCTTGCCCCCGGAGGCGGGTATGCGTAGGCATTTCCCCATGTAAAAAAAGGTTCTGCAGTTTGGATCCCTAAAGATAGAATAATATTAAATTTTAAGTGCCCACCTGAATCATCAGTTTTCACAGGTGAATCTATTGCCATCTTAGAGGCTATTCTATAATTATGCTGAATCTCACAACTTGGAAAATACCTTAATTCTCTCTGACTCTCTTAGCTGTCTCCAAACTATTATCTCCAGCTCCTTCCACTCTAAATCAAATCTTTTCCCTATCCTCTTTATTAAAAAAGCATTATATAATTATCACAAAAAAAGCCTAAAAGTTGTTTTGGCTTGTATTCCAGGCCATTCTGGATACGTGGTAATGAGTGTGCAGATTCTTGGCTAAGAAAGCACCACGAACAGGTATCCTCTCTCATAGAGATGTTACGGAGGTTCGATTCCGATTCCGAAAGATCGGAACTTCCGATTGATTTTGCACTTTCGATTCCCATTTCGTTTCCGTTAAATATTAATCGGAAGTTATATATCGGAGGTCGATGCACAGTGGTGACGGCGGCCACGTTCAGCGTGTACAAACAATTTTACACTTGTCGCCTCGGGAACCTCCCCCCCCCCCCCACCCCCATGCCTTCTGTCGATTACTCTTTAAATGCGGCTCCTCACTTGCCTGCCGCAGGAGCAATCTAGGATGTAGGAGTAGGGATGACCTTAATTGTCTCCTTAATTGTGATGTGTGTATGCAAGCAGGAGCAATTTTCTAAGTCGGCCCTGCGGCAGGGCGACAGAGGCGCATGACATTCCTTGCTCCTAGATTATAGCTGCCGCTGCCCCGTGCATAATGCAATTGGGGTAATTTCAATCAGTTTGTTAGCGACCTTCGTGCGGAGCACTCGTGTGAGTACAAGTCACAATGGATACCAATAAAGAATGTGAAATTTTGACACTGGTGATAGGAGTGTATAAAGAGCGGCTTCTTCACCCAGTATCTCCTTTTTGTTTTCTCTTGCAGAAAGAACGTTATTTAAATGTTGTAACGTTTTTAAATGTGGTAGAGTTATGCTGCAGCTTTTAAGGGCTATTCTATGGTTGTAATTATTAATTAATCAGTTGTTTTATCGATAAATGTGGCGGTCTGTGGGCTACAGTATCCACATACTATCAAATGGACAGTGCTCATTTGTCATCCTTATTCTATATAAAAAAAAAAACCGGCCAATTGCGAGTCGGACTCGGGCACCGAGGGTTCCGAAAAAATCCGTAGGTATATAAGTTTAAAATTATTAAAAATATTTTTATTATATGATGTAACTAAAAATTTATGCTTTTCGCAATTTTTCCTTTATCTGTGCTATAATACGTTGCTTCGTACCGAATTTTAAGATTCCGAGTTCACGGGAAGTACCATGTAGGTTTTGATTCCCTTGCGAATGTTGAAAATTTACGGCTGTATCTTTTGATTGCGTTGGCTTAGAAGTTTGATTTTTCCACAGCTCCAAGGGACAGTAGACTTGAGTATTTGATATGAATTTCAGCTTGATACGTTCACGCGTTCCTGAGAAAAAGGGTCTTGACAGACAGACAGAAGCCGGACAACAAAGTGATCCTATAAGGGTTCCGTTTTTTCCTTTTGAGGTACGGAACCCTAAAAATAGCCAAGGCTATATTATATACCGATTCATTGATATTTCGATAAAACTGGCTCCATTCTCAATGCGTGTGTCCAGAAGACGTACATTTTCATACTGAACGGCAGGCATGTGTGTAGAGACAGTTCTGATATTGCCCCGATCGCTTTTCATCCTAGATTGCCCCTGCGGCAGGCAAGTGAGTAGCCGCCTTAACTTGATGTTTTATTTCGTATTTGGCAATTGGCATGTTATGCGTTCGCGCTTCATCTATACTTATCCGAGTTTTTGATTAAATTTAGTTGTGTTTTATTTGACGTGTAGCAAATTTATTTGAATTGGACAATGAAGCCAAAATCAAGTGCCATTTGGAATTATTTCAATGAAGTTTTAGGCAAAGTGTAAACTATATTAGAAAATATATTCACGAAAGGGAGGTACGACTACTTCATTAAAAAGTCATTTTAAGTCTGTGCATGCCACTGAATTCGAAGAGTTCAAAGAATTTGAAACCGAAAAGAAAAATACAGTGCAATAGACCTGTCCTTAACACATCTCGTCTGCCTCCACCTCCGATTCCGGTTCTAACAAACAAAATTTAAAAACTCCGCTTCCGAATTCGGTTCCGATATAACCACTTCCGTAACATCCCCTACTCTCTCAGTACCAAATTTTCCCCCATGACTTGCCTCCACTAGCAGGCTCTAACTTCATTGCATCTTGGCAAGGTCTCTGGGACCAAACTAAAACCATAAAATGTAAATACTACGCTCGGGTTCAAGACACAATCCCATACAAACCTTGGTTTTTCCATTATCGTGAAGCTAACAAATTTACTACATCAACCATTAGCCGTCTTCGCTTTGGTCATTCTTGCACACCGGTACACCTAGCCAAATTAAGGATAAGGGATAATTCTTTATGTGAATGTGGTCTTGTTGAAGGTTCAACCGATCACATATTTTTCGAATGTCCTCGACTCAAGTTCTCCTTGTATGATATCCTTCCTCAAAACATCTCTCGTCCTACTAATTCTACCTGTCTGCTGTCTCTCGTGTTCTCTCCTCATTTGTTCATATTTTATGTGATTTTATTTATACTAATAGTATTAAGTTGTAACATAAAACTAATCATTGCTGGTGGTAGAATTATAAATGTTTGTGTTGTCTTTTGATGTAGATTAGAAGCCAATCTTAAAAGAATGTATAAAAAAAAAAGATTTTATTTACCTTGTTTTCATTCCCATGACTGCTTGACATTGGCAGAATTCTTTTAAGAGAAGCCAAAAAGTAAAGAAGAAGAAGAAGGTACTAAGAGCGGCAACGTTGCAAAAGTCGAATTTTAATAGTTACTAAGCAAATTATTAAGGACTGGGTTTGTTGGACCCACTAGTGACTCCTTAAGTGTTAAAAAAAGATTCAAACTAAAAAAAACTTACTTTTAAAAATAACAATATTTATATACCTTGCTTATTGACAGTCTCTGCATTGCTGGAAACTGGTGAGATCCTGTAGTGTCAGTTATTTGTAGAGTACAAATTGTTTTATTGCTGCTTATCACCTTAAAAGTAAAAATATTTTTAAATTAAGATATCACAGAATACTACTTATGGGTCATTATATAAACCGCTAAATAAACAATTTATTCATTATTCTAAACAACTGATCATGATGGCAATAAATTACAAACACTGTTGCATGCTATTGATTGCAGAGAAATATATTAAAATCAGTGGTTTAGCTACCCAGGGATTAGGCGGGGCAGAGCCCCGGGGCCCCCAAGCTAACGGGGCCCCTCGGTCTCCAATAACGACGTTCGAAAACTTATGTACTATCCTAGTTGTATAAAGAATTTTCGAGTTTTAACTTTTTGGTCCCTGACCGCGAATGGCTCGAACTGAAATCACAAATATTACTCCCACTTCCAAAAAATAAATATACAACATTGTTAAAGATAATTGTCTACTTCGTTTTATTGTCTTTTTTATATAGAAAAGTAGGACAAACGAGCATGCGGTTCACCTGATGGCAAGTGTCGACCACCGCCAATTAACAAAAACAACACCAGGGGAATTGCAGGTGCCTTGCCGGCTTTTTAAAAAGAAGTAATCTCGTTGAAGCTCCCTAAGTCGTATCGGTCAAACATCCCGATGATATGGATTTATGAAATGGGTTGATGAAATTTTATTGCTGGAATTAATCTGAACACTCTCTGCAGTAAATGCGACAGAAAATGAAGGGGATGCAACATCTCTTCATCTCGTCTTTCGTCATCGTCGGTCGTCAACGATTCGAGGCACTCTGCGCTGGATGCGATCAAGTGGAAGGAGCAAGTACTAGAAATCCCCAGCCCAGGGATGAGAACAGTATTCCATGTTATTCCGAACCTGCCCCTTGTAAAGTTGCAAGCAGTATGCCGGCTTAAAATACTGTCCCGCTCTGCTGAGCACGCTTTTTAGAGGCCAATTCAGCCTTCCCTTCCAAGTGACCACGAAACTGCACGTTAATCGATATGTCAACGCCGAAGATTCCGATACTGGCTGAGGTAACAAGGGGAGTGCCCTGAAATTGAGGAGTTGCGACATATGCGTTCTTTTAGTGGTAAAAGCGCAAACGTAAAAGCACGTAGCCTTGTGGAACGCCAGCATAAATAGGCTTGTAAATGGAGCATGCACCTTCTACTACAACTTGCATGCTCCAATCTGCAAGAAAACTGCTGATCCAGTTGCACAAATTCTCAGGAAGCCCATAGGAAGGGAGCTTCAAAAGAAGCACTCTGTGCCAAACCCGATCGAAGGCCTTCGCTATGTCCAAACTAACGGTCAGGGTCTCCCTCTTTGCCTCCACTGTTTTATAAGTCAGGTAAGCCAAAAGATAACCAGCTGAGCAACTCCGACGGAAATCGTACCGACTTTCAGTTTTCAGTTGGTGATCCTCAAACTCATGAGCTGGCAGTTCACAATGGTTTTCATTATTTTAGAGAACAAGTTGGATAGGTCTGAGCAGTCAACTTTTCGGTTATTTTTTCGGAATCTGGTGCACTAAAGCTGTCTTCTTTGAGTTCAGGACTACGTCTAGGGAGAAAGAGTTTTAGAAAAGACATGTTATGACCGGTGCCATCTAGGGTACACATGTCTTCAGCACAATGGGAGGAACTCCATCAGGCTCTCTCAACTTGACGTCTAGGGAGAGTAGTGCGATGTGCACCAAGCGCTGTGTAAACCGTATCGTACCGACCTGAAGGCGAAATTATACTTCTTTCCAGTGCTGGTGAAGCACTACTATTATAGTGCAATTCAATTTTACAGGAGCGCCCAAACCTGGTACAACAGATGATAGAATAAAGAGTTCCATTCCCTTAAGTACCACATCAGCGACAGAATCACGTTGGAATCATCCGGCGAGAAGCATACCCTCCCCTATCCTCATGGGAAGGATGCGAAAAAAAGACCGCATCTTGTCCCAATCGGCCGACCTATAGTGCCAAACACGGTGGCGATCTGCAGAACGCAATTGCGATGGTAGTGTGTGTGGCACCATAGTCCGGATCAGACAATGGTCCAATGAGCCAGGAGAGGTGTTGACGGAGACCTGATATCGGTCCAGATGATAGATCAACAGAAAGACCATCAGGGAAAGTGCACAATTCTCCATATCTAGAATCCGCGTAGGTGAAGTAACCATTTGTTTCGGGCCATATGCCAAGGTAAAGTCATAAACAGAACTTTCCGCATAATTGGTTAAACAAAAACCAAGCCATTCAGCGTAGTGGCTGTTAAAATCACCAAGGATCACAATCTCTGCAGATGGGACCTGTTGTAGCAGCGAGTCTGCAGAGATTTAGACGTGGTTGATGAGTTGGTCGGTGTTATAGTCACACATAGACACGAGAATGGTCGTAGCTGACCTTCAAAACTGCCAAGGCGTCGAGAACAGATGTCCTCTCTGACATATACGCAAACTCCATATTTTGCACCTGATATTTAGCACTATTAACTTAGAAAACATGGTTTCTAAATAGCGTGTTTGAAAGTTTTTAAAATTTAAATCATAAATTTTTATAAACAAATAAATTTAGCAATATAAAACTACATTAATTGTCTTTAAGTTTTGACAATTTTGTGTTAATAATATGCTCAATATTTTTGATTTTACATTCATTTTTCTAGGACCATTCAGAGTTACAACTGCAACAATGCAAGAATAATTGATTTTCAATAACTTTTCTCAAAAAATACACGCTTCCTCATATTGTAACTTTGTGTGTGTGCTTATAATAGTGTAACTTTTCTGTAAAAATACGTATCAACCCCCAACTCGATGGGAATCAATGGAAAGTCATACTAACTAATTAAAAAACCCAATAAGTATTGTGAAACTGATATGAGTGTTTATTCAAATCACAAAAGTGAAGTTGGAGTTTCACAAAGTGACATCAATCACAAGTATAAATTAGAAAATAAGAAATTTTACTTTTTTGTTACCACTAAAACTATGTAAGTTTAAGTAAACTATTTAGAAAACTAATTATTTTATTTAAATAATAAATAACAATATTTAATTCAACAGTTTAAATTTCTTCATTTTATTCTACCATTCGAAGAATTTTAAAATAATTATCTAAGATCTGCATGAAAAATAAAATGGATAAAAAATAAAAATATCTCCTAACTAGTTGGAAGAACAACTCTACATCAATTGGATGCACTATCACTGGCACCACTAATCGCAACACTACACCCAACAACACTAAAGTATGAAGTAATGCCATAATTGTTAATATGACAGAGGTATTTATAATCAAGAAAAATGATGGATGCCTGCCTGATATCCGTGGTGATCACCATGTAGCGGTAGTGTAAATATATCCACTACTTCATATCATTTCGTGGGTGTCGTAAGAGACTACAGGGAGAAAAAAGGAGATGGGCAGCAAAAGTCTTTTCCTAATAAATACTAAAAAATAAAATAATAAAAACTGGTTACAAACCCCCCATTTCAGGAAATCTATAGGAGAGACCTGTATTCAGCAGTGGACTTTAATAAGCCGTAACAGTTGACCGCTAGGTTGGCAGCATTCAAACCCAGCTATTCAATTAAATAATTAGCCCTGTTAACATACTAAAAACAGGATAAAAATATAGTAAATAATTAAAAATGCAAAAAAGGAACAATGTAATAGTAATAAGAGTATTCGTACTTGTCTATAAGTATCTTCGATAGTGGGTATATAAGATTCTCTGAAAGTGCCTTTAACAAAACGTAGCACCAGGGAACTCTTACCCACGCCACCTGCGCCAAAAACTACAACACGGTAATCATTGCTTTGCTCCGGCATCACTATTTTTTGTTTGACGTTTTGGAAAATCAATCCTCAAGATTTTACAACAGCAGTATTTTATAAAAGTTATCTATTGCATTTTTGGAAATTTACTGCAACAATTATCGGACATTGTATGATTTTATTTTTGATACACAAGACATTTATTTGTAATTGTATAATAAATGCACACTATTACACTCACACACGCCCAAACGACACAATTTTATTAGTACTTATGAGAAGTGCTTCCAACACCAATTTGTCAAATTCCCCGAAAATCCATGTCAAATTCCCCAATTTAGGGACATAACTTTAACAGATTCCCCTCGGATTCCCATCAATTTTATATTAAAAAATGAAACAATTTTCAACTAATATTATAAGACTTATTTTTAGCTAGCATTTTTTTCTTTTTTATCGAAAAATTTTCACACTTTCCATATTTTTGTAATAATTTTACTCCATGAAGTATTTTAAATTACTTTCCTTGTTGCCATTAAAAAGTACCACAGTATCTGCATTTATATGCATGTGGTTCTCTGCCTTAAAATTAAAAAATAAATAAATGAAAAGAATTAAGTGATACACAAAATTTTCCGAAATAAATCCCAAAATGAAATGTGATGAAATGAAGATAATTAGAAAAAGGTAGTCATTCGACATTCACAATTAACATAACAAAAATGTTAAGATAAGTATTAAAATTTCTGGAAAAAAGGTTCTGACTTGGCTCGGGCTACCGATTTTCTAAAATCCCCGCATTATACCAAACCCCAAAAAAGCCCCAACCAGTTTTAAGTTTCCCGCAATTTGGGGAATTTCTCACATGTTGGCAACGCTGCTTATGAGATTATGATATGAATAAAAAACGCGATGGAATGAATGCCAGACAGACAGCTGTCAAAATCATAGATAAATAAATATGTATTTTTCTCTATTCTCAGTCTACAGTATTTTGGGTCCGTTTGGGTTAAACCCATAGAGATATATACCTATGGAGAGGGCATATTCCACTATAGAAATAATAGTTATACAAATATCTATAATATCGACACACACTTGTCAAAAACAGTTTTGTCTCTTTTTAACAAAGCAGTAGCTGCAATGGCAATGTTCACTGCCGATTTCTCACGCCAGATGGCGTATCATCGACATGGCCATTGAGAACTGTCAGATCCATACGTTTCATAACCTAGCATATTGTTAATTTTAGTTTTCTCGAAATATGCCTCTTTGTGCTGTACCAGGATGCGCTAACCCCGGTGTACATTTATTTCCCAAAGATCCAACATTAAAAAAAAAGTGGGAAAAGGCTATAAGACGCAAAAATTTTGTAGCGACACAGCATAGCAGGTTATGTCGGAATCATTTCCAAGAATCTGATTATGTAGGAGAATCAGCCTACACAGGTGTGTTATTTCATTCATTATTATTAATTATAGATTCTACTAGTGGTTTTTCGAAAGTTGAACCACTTGCCCAAAGCCCACTTATATAGGTAGATACTGTAGTTTTTTGTTTAAGTTTTTGTGAACGAAATCCCGGGTAAAGGCTAGGAAGTAAATAAACCAATAATGAACCAATAAAATAAATAATGTATGTAATATATGCCTCCATACATCGGATTATGGTGTTAAATTCATAAAATCTATTTTACTCATGTACAGTAAAGTTATTTGTATTAATCTGTACTATTTTTCTCAATTTTTGTTGTTTACAGGACATCCTCAAATATGCAAGTTTCTGAAAAAGGGAACTGTACCAAGTATATTCCCTTGGTCCACCCAGGTGTCAACAACACCTACATCAAGAACCAGTCGTTATATGAAAAGAAGCAGACGCATACTTGATTTTATACAACCATCTGTAGAAGAAAGTGTTCCAGAACCGTCTTCTAGTGCTGAAATTGAAATATCTACTATAGAGGGCCCCATAGAAGATTTTACGCCAAAAACAGTGTCTGTTAGCACTCAATGTGGTAGTTCTTTTGGAATCTTATCACTAGAGGCCATGAGAGGCAATCCACAGGCTATTCATTTTTATACTGGGCTAGAAAAATATGAAAAATTTATGTTGGTGTTAGACACATTAAGTCCCATGTGTAATAATTTAAATTACAGGGGAAGTAAAGTTATCAATGTTTGTATCGGTGACCAACTGTTGATAACACTAATAAAGCTTAGAAGGTATATGCCAGATTTTGAGTTGGCATTTTTATTTGGTATTTCCCAAACTACTGTTGCTAACATTTTTGTAACATGGATTAATTTTATGTATGAAATATGGTCTTTAATTAATATTTGGCCAAGTAAAGAATTGGTTCAATATTATATGCCAGAGTCGTTTAAAAGGGGTTTTCCAAATACTAGGATTATTGTGGACACAACTGAAATACCCATCACACGGCCTGGGAATCCAGTAGCACAGCAGGTGACCTTCAGCAGTTACAAACATCAAAACACTGTGAAGGCTATGATTGGAGCAACACCTGGAGGTCTTATATCATATGTCTCTGAATGTTATGGAGGTTCAGTCAGTGATAGACAGATTATAGAAAGATCCAAACTAATAAATATGTGTGACAGTGGGGATTCTATTATGGCAGACAGAGGCTTTAATGTGCAGGACATTTTTGCATCAAGAGACATTACTATTAATATACCAATGTTTTTGAAAGGAAAAACACAATTACCAGGTGTTAGAATAATTCAGGACAGAAAACTAGCAAGCAAACGAGTTCATATAGAACGTATTATAGGTCTAGCTAAATCATATAAGATTTTAAAAAGTGAATTGAGCCCTTATTATGTACCACTAGCATCTAGAATTTTATTTGTTTGTGCTATGGCTTGTAATTTTAGAGAAAGTATCATGAAATAAAAAGCTTTTTTATAACTGTTCATATAGTTTATTATAAAATCTTAAAAAACAATATAAACACGCTTGTTATCCAGAGGGGTAAACAGAGACTACGGACTTCCATTTAACACAATCCTGACACACCTCTCTCTCGCCTCCTTTACATCCATATACATACAGTCATACATGCTCGTTGGTTAAGGGTTCTGTTAATCTGGCCCATTTTCAATTTATTTCCAATTTGGTCGATAAACCTTAGTCTAGGGCATCCCTTCCCGACTCTGCTGTTCACATCTGTTATATAAATTTGCTTTGTCACTCTTTCCTTGTTCATTCTTTCCACACGACCAAACCACCAAAGAATTTCTTTCTTAATCCTGTTCACAACATCACATTTTAAAACACACTTTTCTCTTATCACACAATTTCTCACCCTCTCATTCAGATTCAGCCCTAGCATATTATAAAATCTTAATCCTTAAAAAAATATTTGTTGGTTACAGCATTTTTAAAGAAGTTGTAATAAAAATAATCAAGTTTTCTCAACATATCCGTAATGAACTGTTCATCACGTTCAATAAATATTACTTTTAAACTTTTATAGGTAAAAACTAATAAATTACAAAATTTTCTTTTTGTTACATATAATTGCCCTTGAATTTGATAGTAATAAATATTAGTTTTTTTTAAAGTAAGTTGTCCATTGTAATCAAATTGTAGGTAAGGTACTGTAAGAGGACCGATTTCTTGGTTTCTGGAAGCATAAGGGCATTTTACTTCAATTATTGTTTCCGATCCTAGTAAGCCATCTGGAGATGCTCCTAGATAAGGTCGTTCCTGAGACAAAAATAATCCACACTCTTCAACAACCACCCCATAAATCTCCATATATTTTTTAATGGCTACTTTTTCATTAATCATCCCGTGTGCCATCGCTCTTGTTTGGACTAGATTTTTATTTAATATTTGGTTACAATATTTTACTAAAGTTTCACTTCTCAAATGGCACACAGTGTGAAATATACTTGATGTGATGTGCGTTTGTCGATACTCATGCCACTTTGGATTGAAACTTTGTCCTCTAGTCTCCAGTTCGATTTCCACTAATCTTTCTTCAGTTAAATTTTGTAAATTAATGGATTCTAAAAAAACATCCTGTGCACTTTTTTCCATATATTTATGATCTAAACATATTGCTCGTTGGTTAGCTGCTGGAAATAATTGTTTAAGGGGCATCGATGAGAGTGGATAATTTAAAATCAGGGACTGAAACCTGCATTGGAATGCCTTTTTATCAAAATAAGGGTTTTGTTTTAAATATGGAGAGTAAACAATGTTATGTAAATCCCTTTTGGATGGCAATCTGGAGGCTCGCAATGGTGTGGCATAATATTTTTTTGTAGGCTTATGAAACGTTTGAAGTTGTGATGTCGTAACTTCATGTAGCAGTATTATTTTTTCCTTAACAATATTTTCAGCAGCAATAAGTACCACAGCTACATGTTTACAATGGGCTTCTTTGCCTTCTCCTGCTGCACATTCACATGTTGCTTCTTCAGGCATTCCATCATTATTTAATTTGATGTTTACCTCATATTGTAGTTGTTTCATAGATGCCTTGCAAAAACCTGGAAGAAGTATTTATATGTTCATATTTAAAAGAAAGACAAATATATTACACATCAACTTTAACCACCTAACCATCTATTTATTTTTGAGACATCAACCTTCATTTTCTGGTGAACCTACCTTTTAAGTATGTATCTTGATTCATACAATTTTACTGCATCACTGATATTTTTATTGAATCTGAAATAAAAAGTATTATGTTAAATATCAAGAGAAAGGATATAACCACTATTTAATAAACTTAGTGGACAAATAATCTTTAATATTTACAAAAACGTTAGAAACAATTATTACCTACCTATCAAAATAACTTTGAATATGTTTTTTGGTAATCTTTGGCAATATCGTGCAGCTATTAACGTCCTGGTAAAGTTCCACAGCAGGAACATCAATTGCTTGACTTTGAGAAGCTACAGGGCTTTGATTGCCGAAATTAAAATTTCGGTCATATGATTCTAACCTAAAAGCAAAAAATACCATTTATGATTTGAGTAATGTTCTCTAAATTTTCCTAACATTGATCAAGA